TGTTATTGGAGATAATCACCGAAGGAATGTATCACAAAAGTCAAGAAAGTCTGAATCATTTTTTATGCTGTTGTTTTAGGAAAGAGGTTTTGGATGCTGATAGGGAAGTTACTCTAGCTATAGGGCGAATTTAATTGCATTTTTAGAAACTTCTTTTAATCCTATAATAACAAAAAATTAAATCAGTGCTGACATTTTTTGTTGCCAGAAGAAGGTAGTAAAAGGGTAAAGAAATAATTGTTAGTTCTGAGAATATAATTAGCAACTTTAATGCTTTAATCTAAAAAATGCATATTTTGAGCCTGGGTGAATGATTAAAGAAAAGATATTGAAAGTCTTTGAAATTTCTAACTGTGTTTGTTTTTAATTGTGAGTTATGATCACTATAATTAGCTCATTTAGTGCGTTTATTACATAAACAAATATGAATTTCTACAAGTTCAGGGATATTTCAGGACAAATAAGATCGACATCCTGACCTCTGGCTTTCTGTATTAAGCCTTTTTTATAATGTCGGGCAGAAGTTTATTCCCTGATATGCGGGAAGGAAGGAAGGTTAAAGACACCAGGATCAAACCCTGGGAGACAAGGTTGAGGTGTGTTTGGAGATTTGTTCCAAAGGGGTGATAAGGATCTTCCCGTGACTGGAGAGGCCTGTTTCCATGCTCCCCGCCCCCTGGGACACAAACTGAGGCTGGATCTGAGGTAGAAGCACAGGAGGAAGTGCCAGGTTACAGATAAAGGAGAGCTGTCTGCTGCTGAGTGTCTACGAAGGCGGAACCTGACTGTTTGACTCTGCCTTGACAAAACCAGGAATTGACTCTGCCTTGACAAAACCAGGAAACCTCATTACTATGCACTCGAAAAGGGAAAAGGGAAAAAAAATCCAGAGGGATCTGGGGAATGAACTTTTTGGGGGTCTTATTTCTCTCAGAGGTGCACATTAAAATTCTCTCTTTCATTCATTAATGTGAATACAAGCTGCCTGAGAAAATAGCTGGTGGGACCTCCCTTAATGAATAGTGGGGCTTTTCTATGCTCTGGAGGCTTAAAATTGGGTTTCATCCCACAGAGGATTTCTTTTTTTCTTTTTTTTTATTCCTTCTCCTTCTCTCTTCTTAACACTGCATGTTTGGTTATATTTCTAGGACTCACCTAGGCTGTGACCTGCCACCTCCAGTTCTAATCGCTCATATGATTATATTGGGCCACCCACAGGTAGACAGGAGGGGTTGGTGTCAGAGACTCCCCGAAGTTCAGGAATTTTTCCAACATTATTTGAAAGTTTCTACTCTGTCAATCACATGCAATCAAACTTGTTCTTGTGAAGTTCCTCATACTGCTTCGTTTAGAATAGGCTAGGTATGAATATAAAAATCTTTTCTTTTGGTTTCAGGTTTTTGCTTTGGTTTGAAATGGAATTAACCCTTTTTGGCATCTCATGGTTTTATTTCCTCAGGATTCTGGTCATAACTTATTTTTCTCCCATATCATCCAGATGTTGTACTCAATCGCTCCACTCCACTGCATTTATGTTCCCTTCCAATAATTATTGTCTATATCATCCATTTGTACTGTTTTCATGAACCTCCCTATGTTGCCAGTTATCTGCCAATGTACATTTCTAAGTTTTCTAAGGAAACATACTGTGTTTTCTACTTGTTTATGTCTCCAGGGTCAGCAAATAGTAAATGCTCAATTAACTTTTTCATGAGAATGATGCTCATTGACATGAGGCCATTTCTCACCAATTCTCTCCTGATTCCCACCAGAGAGTGGCTAGGATGACCAAGAACCCCCAGTCATAATTTCAAAACCTTAGCCCAATTTGTCTGGGACTGATAAAGAAAGTGGCTGTGGATTGAGCTCTACTAACCTATACATGATTGTGGTAGGAAAGGAAATGCTGAGATATATCTACTCAAGCAATTTGAGGATGTGGTGACAACATGACAGCAAGTTCCAGGGGAGCTTGTGGATCAGTCTCCAGAAGTGACATGAGGCCTCAGGCTGGAGCACAGAGACACTCAGCAGAGGGTAGTCACTCTGTTCCAAACTGATTGAGAAGCACAGAGCTGTTTTTCTGACAGGGAAGGCATTTGGAAGTGTAGTTTAAAGGATGTTGTTTTCTTTTGTTTCTCCTTATGAATTTTTTTTAACTTATGGTCTTTAATTTTATTGCACCCCATATATTTTAAACACAAATAAAAAAACAGTGGATCATATGATTCAGAACAGGAGTAATTAGCAAGGTGTATAGAGAGAAATTAGAATGGTATTTAAAGCTAAAAAAGAGAGGGTCAAGTAAAACACACTTAAGAGCAGTGATACAGTTACCTAAAGCTCCAGGAACAGTCCTGGATCATGCACTATTCATCTGTGTAATATTTATTGAATGTCTACTATGCCAGGTATTATGCTAAACAGTTTATCTGTTCATTGTTTAATATTGTAAAGCTACTCTATGTATCTTATATAAATCCAAATCTTATAAATCCATGAGATTTATATTCTCATAGTCTATCCAGTATATTGGGCCATTTAAAAATTCTGTGACATATTTATAATCATGATATTCTGGACTTCGCACTATTGATAGAGGGCTACTTTGTCAGTAATTGTCTACCAATTTGCCAGTAGGCTTTGGAAAGACATAATTTTTCTCAGTGGTAACCAAGGAGAATTTGGTGACAGGAATGCCTGTGTGTGTGTGTGTGTGTGTGTGTGTGTGTGTGTGTGTGTGTGTGTATACACACACACACACACACACATTTAAATTTAGCTATTAAAGGCTTAACTTTAGTACCATGTGCTCTATTTTGTCTCTTAAGGAAACACCAAGCTGCTTGAAATTTAGCACACATGGCGTAAGGAGTTAATATTGTACAGCCAAAGTGAGCAAACTAATAACGGAAAGGCGGTGCTTCCTCTGTAGGATCAGATCTGTTACCTGTTATTTGGTTCTGCTGCTGAAGGAGAAAAATAAGTCTTGGATATTACAGCTGTCACTGTGACATCTGTTGTTTCAGGATCCGTGACTGCTTCAGTCACCACCTGACCCAGATCATCACCATAACATTCTGTCCACTATTAAACTGAGAAAGGCCCTCGCCCTCCAGGTGGTACTTCAAGGTTGACATACCAAGGTGTTTGTCTCTGTCCCCGTGACTGCCTCTTAACTGAAAAATACAGCCTCTTTGTGCAGAATTGATGGCAAACCAAGTCTCCCAGGGTTCAAGGGGAGCAGCTGAGAGCAAGAGTTCCTGAGGCGTAGCCCCGTTCTGCTTTTAATCACTTGTCACAACTACTGGAGGGCCTCAGAGCGTTCAGAGGTGCCGCTTTTTGTTCTTTGTCGGTGGTGGCTATCCTTTTCCTTGGAACAGATGATCCCAGCTATTAAAACAACAACAACGAGGGCACACACGTGTGTCCAAACTTACAAATTAGATACCTCAGGGGTTATTAGTCCTCCCTAACATGTGAAGAATATTTTACTTTTAGAAAGACCCTCTAAACAGACCTCCATCTATGGTTGTATGCGTTTGGTTGAGATCATTAATGATTTAACGTAATGGCTACTGATAATGTAGATGAAAAGTCGATACATCACAAAGTAAGAGGGTGTCATGTGAGTTACCAAAATCATGCTGGCCTAGACATTACAGGAAAGTAACGAACATATAAAGTAAGGCATATCTCTGCTGTAAAGAACTTCCCTTCCAAGGACTCATGCACTCATTCATTCATTTACTCATTCTTTCATTCAGAACCTATTTATTGAGACTCTATAATATACCAGTCACTATGCTCAGAGCTGAGGATAGAGCAAGAGAAGAGAGACATTCTCTTCTCTTACGAAGTTGAGCATGACAAGAAAAATCAAGGTCCACAACTATATTCGTGGCACATATTTTCCCCATATAATTGAAAGACAGAATTTAACCACTGCTGGCCACTTAGCTATTTGATAGTCAGCAAGAAGAAGTTTACTTTCATTATATCATGAATTCACAAAAGAAAACCGAAGAGCCACAAGTTTCTCCTGGCATGGTATACCTCGATTTACTTTCTTTACTTTCATTTTCCTACAAATTTCTGTAATAAACTAGCCTTAGTTTTGATACTGGCTAAACATATGATCTTATACAAGATCATATATTTACATACAATATACATCTTATACATCACCTCTCTAAACCTTGATTTCCTCACATGTACAATTCCTTTAGATGATATGTACTATCTTTTTTTTTCAATGTAAAGACAACTTTTTAGAGTAGTTTTAGGTTCACAGCAAAATTAAGAGGAAGGTACGGAGATTTCCCTCACATCCTCTACCCACACACAAGAACAGCCTCCTTATTTTCAACATTCCCACTGGAATGGGATATTTATTACAGCTGATGGACCTGCATTAATCCATCATTATCACTCAAAGTCCATAGTTTACATTTAGATTCACGCTCTGTGTTGTGCATGTGTCTGGACAAATATATAATGACACACATCTACCATTAGGGTTTCACATAGGGTAGTTTCTCTGCCCTGAAATCCTCTGTGCTCCACCTATTCACCCCTCCTCCCCCTTCCCTGGCAATCACTGATCTTTGTACTGTCTCTATAATTTTGCCTTTTCCAGAATGTCATATAGGTGGATTCATCCAGCATGTAGCCTTTTCAGACAGGCTTCTCTAACTTAGTAATATGCATTTAAATTCCCACCATGTCTTTTCATGGTCAGATCTTTTTTTAACATGAAAAATATAATATTCTCTTTCAGACAGGCATAATTCTTTTTTAATTCACTGTCTTCAAAGTGCCTCAGGACATTTGCAGTTGCATGGCCTAGGCATTATGGCTTAGCAGACAGGATAGACAGGGAGAAGAAAGGCTTTGTGCCGCCCAAGCAGTCTCAGAGTCATGAGTTCTCCGCTCACCTGGAAATCCCCTGTCGTCTGTGCCCGAACAAAGACATATTATCTGGACCTGGCAGTACTTACCCAGCTCAGAACACGGCAGAAGTCTTGGCCCAGAGAGAAGGTTGGAGACTGCACTTTGTGGCATCTGCCATTGCTTTATAGGTCTGGGTTTGTAGTGTTAGGTTGTTCCTTCTTTCTTTTCTTTTTCTAGTTGGCCCAGTGCCTGCAAATGGAGGTATTTGCCACCAGGTGAGTATTGGTATCTTGTAGAATGGCTATTCTGGTTATACGGCATGTACCCAGACGTGGGGAACTGAGAGGGGGAAGAATGAAGAATATGCTAAATATTAAATGTCATATTTTATGTTTTCTCCATAATAAAAATGAATTTAATTACTTAACTAAGTACCAACTACCAATGATTGCATAACAACTGAAAGGAAAATAAAATATTGTGTAATTTTAAAAACAAGACAGGCACCTAAGAGCCTATGCTCTAATCAAAATTTTCAACCTCTGCTTTAGTTATACTCAGCTTTTTTTTGAGAGGGGCATGAATTGTCTTTCACAAACAACTAATATTCTAAAGTCTTTGCTGAGCTGATCAAGTATTTTGAGAAACATGATATCGAATGCACCTCTTTAGAAGAAGAGGCTTCTGAAGTAGCAGGGCCATAAGCATAACTTGAGTTTAGTGGTGAGTGGGAATACTTCCGAATTCTAGAATACTCATTAGGATTTTTTTTTCCTAAGAATAGGAAATGGCCTTCACCTCATTGTTTGTTCTCTAAAACTTCAGTCTAACTTTGTAAAGTGAGGGCACATTCGTTTACACTGATAGGGATTTTAAAAATCATGTTAGTGGACTATAAAAAATCTTTTCTAGGGAAACAATTATGGAGATGTGTTTTATGCTTTTGGGGGCTGGGGCAGGGTGAGAGAAAAGAAGGAACATATGCTTTTGGAATTTAATATATTTTTTCAAGTTTGTACTTAAAAGATACCCCCAGAGTTCTTGATTGTCTCAAGGTGAAGACAGTGTTGAATTACTTACTCATGGTAACAGGCTGTCAGATCGAACATGTAGCAGGAGGACCAGAGCAGTGCCGGCAAACCCAAAGGCAGATTCCGTGCACCAGGAGCCGAGCCGTGGATTTGAGACCGCCCTGAAGGAACACGGCAGAGAAGAGTGGGGTGGAAACTGGTGCCGTGCCTCAGTCAAAACTCCAACTGCAGAACGTGGATGGTTTTGGTTTTGCCTCCTGTGGTAGGAGCCTCCGCTGTGTGGCGATTTGCGTGTGTGGATTGGCACGTTCGTGAACACGCAGGCAGAAAACAGGCATCTTAAAAGATGAGGACTTTGTGTTCTCACAGTAAACATTGGAAAGTATCCGGTTCCTCTCACTGGAGACCACAAGGGTCTGTTGTTACATGATAGGTACCTGGGTTTACTCAGATCCTCTAGGACATGTGAGGTTTTAAAGCAGATGCAGTTGGTAGGAAAAGGGTAGTCCTGAGATATACTCAAGCTAATAAAGGAAAGGATGGAATCAACTAAACTTAAAGAACTAGAAATTTCAAGCGTTTTGGCTGCACTACCTAATATGAGCACTTGAAGCATGGCTGGTCCCAATTGAGACGTGCTGGAAGAATAACATACAAAATGAATTTCAAAGACGTCATATGAGAAAGAATTAAAAACATGTCATTAGTAAATTTTTTAATGCAGGTTATATGTTATGTTAAAATAATATTTTGGATATGTTGGGTTAAATAACATATTTAAATTAATTCACCTGTATCATTTTATTTTTTTTAATTTGGCCACTAGAAAATTTAAATTTATGTATTCTTTTTTCTTGCTTTTTTCACTTGTTATCTATGTTGCTGAATGCAGATGCAGTTTGTTCATTTTCATTGCTGCATGGTATTCTTTGCATAAATGACAACTTACTTCTCCATTCTACTGTGTTGGTTATTCAGGTTGTTAACAGTTTGCATCTACTACAGATAATGTTGCTAGAAATATTCTTATGCTATGTCTTGGTGCACATGAGCTTGCATTTCTGTTGGACATAGTCCTAGTCGACAAAAATTAATAATAGGACAGAGGTCAAAAAATAAAAAAATAAAATAAAATTACGTATATGGCTTGCATTTGCGGTGCCCATTATATTTCTATTGGGCCCCTCTGGCCTGGAGGATGTTCATACAAGGAAGTCCAGAGCATTTGAATGTTGGATAATTCAAGGTGGATACTTGTGTTAAGAATTTAGAAAACCTATATTTCTATTAATAAAATAAATTCGATAGAACTGTGTTATAACACAGATTATTATTACACAGAGGTGGCTACACCATAGGTCAAGTATACTAGCACTTGGTAACACTATTCAACAAAATCCCACATACCATATCGTCTTGGAATAGAAGCACCATGTACCTATCAGCATGAACGAAGAGAAGGAAGGAGCACAAAGGAGCGATGCTAAGGTTGGGGAGTAAAGACAATCCGTTCAACACATAAAGGTACTTTTCAGTGACTCTCACATTTGGAGAAATTCAGAAACAATTAAAGGAGTTGGAAGTCCCTGAAGATTTACTGTAAGAAACCCCACTGTCTTACAGAAAGCCCTAAGAGGACCAAAGAAATGTATTGCTTTAATAGGATTTTGCTGTGTGAGGACTGTACTATGTTCTAGGTGATGCCAACACGCAGAGCATTTTTCTCCATTTTCTTCCAGAAGGATTCTATATGAATTGGGCCTTTGAAGAGAAAAGAAAGCTTTATTTCCATATGAAGCCACCTCAAAGACTCCCCCACTTTAGCCTCTCATGAAATGAAGGACAGCCCTCTGGGAAGGCTGGTCTATCACCCCGACCTCATCGCTCATTGCTCCTGAGGTGTTTTTCCATCCCAGTGTAATTATCTCCATCATAGAGGAGGCTCCAGATGCATTTATTTGCCCCCGTCTGTGACTAGAAAATGTATTCCATATTCAGTTAAAGTCAGTAATTAAAATGGCCTAATCTGCATTCGCTTTGTAACTACAGACTGAGGGCTCCCCCTCCCTCCACCCTAGAGGCGGGAGGGCTGCCTCTCCCAAACCTACGGTGAAGACCTCTGATTGGCTGGCGAACAGTTAGAACAGGTAAAATAATCTAATCTGGAATATTGCTCTCCTCACCTTTTTTAATAAACATTTTGCCTCACCACAGACCTTAATATAACAGCAGTAAAGGCAGGAGAGGAAATTGGAAACATGGCCAGGAGTGTGCCTTATGGTTCATAACAGCCCCAAATTGCGGACTGTTTATTAAAACTAACACCCTTTTGTGAGGGTGTGGATCAAAATATCCAGTGGTTTCTCTTCTTTGATATTCCTTTTCTTTTTTTATGGCACTGAGTTTAAATTCCAGTTTTAGGGTTTAATTAAGTTTCTAAAGTTGTTTCTGACAAAAATGTCGATATAAAAAAAGCACCTTGCCCATGATTTGGCCCCATCAAATATTTCCATCACATATTTCAGTCAGTAGGAGACGTGTACGGGCAGATTGCCTCTCAGGCCTCGGGGATACGAAAGAGTTAAGGCAGGTGAGGGAAGGGAGGGGTGAGGTGGCCTGAGAGCTGCCCCACAAAATACAATTAAGGGCCTTTCCCAGGCCTGGGGCAGCCGGGTGCTGCCAGGGGAAAGGACAGCAGAGTACAATGTTCTCCTTGTCCACATACCTCCCTTTTGTTTCAGCAGCACTTTGGCTCCCACACATGCAAAAGTTTGAATTTCCTGTTGGCTCTGAGGTGAGATTTATAACATTTATTAAGGTTGCTATTCATTGTGAGTTTACAGGGCAATAAGCCTAAGAGCTTTTAGGGGCTTAATTGCCTATGTTTATGGGGGGCTGCAAAGCTCCCCACAGCCTCACTGTCAGCCAGGTTGGCCAAATGGGGACTTCTTGGCGTGTCCAGGGAGGGTGTCCCAGTCCAACGGGAAGGTCAGGGAATGGCTGAAAGGCTACAAAGGAGGCAGTTACCTCAGAGTTTTATTTTAGTTTTCTGTTCTGGCTATTTTGGTTGCCTTCCCTCCGGCTCATCTACCTCATTCCGGCCATGTTTGAAGCCACATTTGATTTTTCCATTTTCTCCGGGAAGAAAGGAGAAATAATTTGAAGTCGTAGGTGGTGGCGGCAGGGAAGATAGCAGGAATGAAGGTGAAAAAACACATGTTACAAACATAATATGGGCTAAATAAACATTTTCACATACACTGTCACATTTAATCTTCCCCACAGCCCAGTAAGGCAGATATTATTATTCTCATTTTACAAATGAGGAAATTGAGGCTTAGAGAAATTAAGTAACTTGGTGAAATGAAAATAGCTAGCACATGGAGGAGCTGGGATTTAAGCATGGTTGCTGTGTGGCTTCCCTGTCCCAGGGCATAGCTCCACGCTCCATTGACTCCTATTTTGGCAGCTAATTGCTGCTTGCTCAACCTAAGCGACTGGTTTAGTTGTGTCTTCAGGACATTACAGAGTAAAGGGTTAAACTTAATTTTTTTAAAGATAGTGGGTTTTCTTTGTCACATAAAGGTAGATTTTCTACAATGGTTCTTATATCTTGGCCTTGGCAAACCAAGGAGGCCTTCTTGGAAGACGTGGCTGAGAGCAGAGGAAAGCCAACTGAGCAACGCCTTGGGCTGACAAGATCCAGGACATCCTACCCTTGAATACAACACCTATCGAATATTCTGAAGGCATTTGAGACATGGCAGGTACAGGAAGGACTCTGTGACCTTCCCCTGAAGCAGGTCCTAAGACCCTCGCGTGAAAGGAACTCCCTCCTGGTACCCGGAAGAAAGGAGCAGCGTCATCACTGAAGATGGAGGAGGGCCAAGAGGAATCTGAGGAAACAGGCCTTGCTAAGTTTTTCCCCCAGTTGACTATTCATAGTTTACACCCCTTTGTCCTATCATATTTCTTTTTTTTTTTACAATTTCTTCACTCTTCATTAAACGTAGTATAAAAACACTTGGATTCAACTGTTTCTTCAGGTCTTCATTTTCCTATGAAGTCTTCCATGTCATGAAAAACTTATGTCAAATAAACTTGCATGCTTTTTCTCTTGTTAAACTGTCTTTCTTTAGAGCTGAGAACCTAGAAGGGTAGAAGGAAAAGAGAGGTTGCCCCATCCCCCACAAGGCCACACAGGAAGAAGGGGCAGAGACCCTGCACTCCCTGAGCGTGGCAGCTCCTGAATCAGCTGTGGAATTTGATGACAGAGTTGGAGAGAGAGAAGTTCTGTAGTCTATTTCATTCTACCATTCATTGATTCATTCAACAAATACTTGGTAAGCACCTACTGTGTTCTAGGCACTGTGGTAGGGACTGGAGATGCTAGATACTCCAGCACTCTACCTGCGCCCTCCTGCTGGGCAGAGGTGCACAGGATGCTGCCTGTGCCCAGTCTCCTACAGGCTCTCTCAGGTCAACCCATGGTCTGCACAGTGGCAGATTTCCCAGGCTGTTTCATGGGGATAGACCTACCACAGGGAAGGAACAAAGAAAAAGAAAGTAAAGAGCTGATGAGTAGACAGTGTACTACTCTTCATATGAAATAAACAAATAAGCATCTATATATACACACACATAGTATACTCTTCACATCAAATAAATAAGTACATATATATGTACGTGTGTGTGTGTGCATCAGTCTGACGTGTCCAGTCCAAATTGTCTTATAAATTTGTAACTGGACTTCTAACATACAGAGAGCCCACTGGCACAGAGGACTACACAGTTGAGAGTTGAGCTGTCATTGTTGGCAACGTATTATTCAGGATGTTTGCTAATTTATTGATGCAGAAGCAGAGGTAGAATCAGATTCAGTTGAAGAATAAATTGGAATATTTTGGTGTATTTCTTTTTTTAAAAAAAAACCACTTTAAAGCCTATGTATTAAAATGACAAAGTCTTAAATAGGGGTCTCTTTTTCTAAACAAAAGATATGCAAATTGCAATTCAAGATTTATATTATGATAAAAACTGAAATACAAAAGAGTCATTATCCTGCAGAATGTAAAAGTACATTGCTTCATGAGTCTATAATGGTATAATGGGATGTTGATGTAGTAAGAGGTGTCAGAAGGGAGACAATGACCTTAAAATTTTAAGTCAGAAACATTAGAATTGAACAGTAAGTATCTACCTACCCACCTAACTACCCATCTATCTATTGAATACTGCATTTTTTTTTAAATTTGAGATGAGGAACAGTCTATTTATCTTCTAATATTGTAGCCATAATAGGGGATGAGGGGGGGTTGGAAAATTACTTTTCACATAACAATTCCAACTCTGAAATTGGATAAAGATTTACCTTGAATTTTAGGTTTATAGGCCTATTTTTCATAAAAATCAGTGGTGTGTTATGAAGCTGGGAGACCACTCCTAGCCTAGCCACAGGGCCGGCGCCTTAACACCAAATGTCAGTGACTCCAGTGCTCCCAGCGTGGGGAAAACTTGCAGTTACTTTTTATTTTGTCACATCCCAGAGAGATTGCAGCTAACTGATATTTAGGTTTGAGATTATCCTGCTGGTTTATTCCCCAAAATGGAGGCATATGTGTGTGTGTGTGTCTGTGAGTGTGTGTATGGGTGGTTGTGCACACGCGTGTGCGTGTGTATGCGTGTGTGGTTCCAAGGGAGACTCAGTTTAGGACATCACGTGATACGCCACATGTGAAGCAGATGTACAGGATTGTTCCCACTGCTAAATAGAGCAGAATGCCTGCTTTAGCTTTATTTGGCAGAAATTTATATACTTGCTTCACTATTTGATCTTAACTTAAACAAAGGACGTCGGTCTCAGCCACCACTGATTTCAGGGCAACAGCTCTGTCTTATTTCTGAAAGGCAGCAGAATTGTGACACTTCAAAAATCAGATGGTTGCACAGTGTGCAAGTATCTTAAATGTTTATTTATTGTTTTAGTGAGCCAAACCCTCATTTTCTTGTTTCTGAGTGTGCGATTGATTGCACTGAAAGTTGTAGGCAGAAGGATCTGACTTTTATACAAATGTCAGAACCTTGGCAAAGCAATTCCCAGAACTTCAGGACAAACCCAAACAAGCCAGGGACTCCAAATGAGGCCTAAGAAAATACTCTCAGACTGAACTCCTGATGATTTTCCAGTTCAGAAAGTTGCTGAGGGTCTTCTGTCAGGGCGAGCTCATGGTTTATGATTTTTGAGCCTGTGCGATGCTCCTTTCTATTTCATCTTGACTTAATGTCATTAGTCTTCCTTCACAGAAACCTGAGTGTTCATTTTCTAATCTATCTAGATGATACGCTGACAGCATTTCCCCTGATCAAGACTTTACCATTTATGTCTCTGCCTCTGTTAATCATTTTCAGAAATGAGATTTATAGTAAAAAGGATTAAATCAATTCTGACTACTTCCAAATTTCTAGGATTTCAGGGTTTCTTGATGAACACAGAAACCATGGCCCCTCAGAGAGGCTTTACTAAGAAGATCTTTCTCGCTGTTGTGAGTTGGCCTTTCAGAGGTAGCCGCCTCTCTGGGGATGATAGCAAGTCAACTTCTCTATGTTTTGTTTGGCAACCACACCACAGGGGCTGCCCTCTGAGCAATTCAAGCTATTTTTGATTGGAAATAGATTAGTAAGCTATCAATTCTCTTCTCCTCTATTCTCCATCTTTCTTTCTTTCTCTTCTTCCTAGTCCTAAGATGAGTACCCATAGGAAAGGTGTCAGCCTATTTCAATTAAGTGTTTATCTTTTAAGTTTCTCATCATGGGGTAAATTATGACATTTTTAGAAGCCAGGATCGAAGAGAAAAATTGCACCAGTCCAAACTAAATTACAGCTTATTTTCTTTCTTTCTGATTCCTCTAATCTTCAACTGAGTTCACATGCCATCACTACTCTGCATCAGGCTTTTGCAAAGCAAGGAGCTTTCACCAATATTATCACTTTCCTTCTCTTTCTTCCTTCTCTCATTCCTTTGTCCAGATTTACTGTCACTATTTTGCTTCATTGAACAGATTTTTGCTTTCTTGCTTAGTAGCTTGGATCTCTTCCTCTTCCATACACTGGGGAGTAAGTACAGGGCAAGCATTCCCTGACTCCTCCTTTGCTATTCCCTGCCTGTCCCCTGAGGTGTGCTGTCCCAGCAAAAGGACAGTGACGATGTTGACTTATCCTTGGTCATCTGTCCAGGTGACCAAACGCCTTTAAATTCAACTGAACCATTTATCCTCCCCCCACTACAGACCTAAACTATCTGCTCTGTCATTTCATTTGCTGTCTGCTCCAGTCGAGACCACGCCTGCACAATAATGCCCTTGGTTTGGTTTCTTATATTTGGTCCTGTGCCCATCTCCTCAGTTTAAGTAGACATTTTGGCTTTCCTAGCCCTCACCCTTATTACTACATAGATTTTAGGTCCTAGGATGCAACCTATAAATCTGTTGCCTTCACCCCTTTTTGGACCACTCTGGGCAACTGTCAAAGATACGATCAACCTATGCACACAGAATCTGTCCTACTTTCCTACTATAGGGCTTTCTACATCCTCCAGGGTTGGTGGGGGGCAGATAATGTGTCAAACATTTTTGCCTTGATTCAGAATGTCTGATTTTTACCTTGGTGAGCTAGTCCATTCTGTATGTTCTAGAGTCACTATGACATCTTTCCATCTCTCCAGTGAAGGCTAAGTGTGTGTATAGCATTTGCATACTATGCACACAAAGATTTCAGTGTCTAGGATCCATAGCTAAGAAGTATACTTCTTCATTGTAAGTACACTTGGAGGTGGCAGAAGCATCCTTTAGTTCTTTCACCAAGATAGTACGGTGACCTGCACACTCCCAGCTCTGCTGTGACTCATCCTTCTGCTAGTGTATAGGGACTAGGGAAGAGAGAGGTTTTACCCATACCAGAAAAGCAGATTTCTGGCAATACTTCAAGATATAAAAAGTTATTAAGGAATCTTAGAACTAATAGCTAGCACACCCTACTCTTTTTTTAGTTGATAATAAGGGATTTAGCAAACAGGAGGAAACTTATAAATACTACTACTTCATAGTTTCAGGAACTCCATGAGTCAGATCATAGTCCTGGATGTTCACCACCATGCATATTCACAATAAGCACCTGCTGTATACACAAGATACTATAATCTACTGAAAATGTTATAAAAGACAGTTCTTCCTTTCTAGGGACTTGGGATGAGTCTAAAGAGACCACTATAAACTTAAGAGACAGAAACTACCATTTAACAGTTGTTTGTACAATAAGTACCGAAGGTGTTCCAAAGAGAGCACAATGCCTGCAACTGAGATAGTCAAAATAGAACTTAGCCAGGTGTCACAGTCAGCTTCATGGGTATGAAACCTGTGTAGTCACATGGGACCTCACACTTGGTTTAATCCTTTGCTGCTGCCATCTTGAAATTCTTAATAATCTAATCTTTGAATTTGTGTTTTGGAAGCGAAGTCCAAGGACAATGGAGCATGCACGTGAGCAGGAGAGATGCACATAACCTGCGTGCCCATTTTCCCCTGCTGCCCCATTTGCACATGGCATTCACAATGCCCTGTGAGCACAGAATTCCAGTGGACCCACAATGCATGGCACTTAAGGGAGATGCAAAGCAAGTACAAGGTGTGTTAATCTATGACTGATTGAGGGGGGAGGAAGGAATAGAGTAGGGGAGTGCTGGCAACCCCTAGAGGCCATGTTTTCTATTGCAGCAGAATTTTCTTCAAAAACAGAAAGAAGACATGGAGTTTTAAGAAACACAATCAACAAAACCTATCAGATCATTTTCTACTCACGTTACTTACTTCCAGGCGTCAACCAGTCACTTCTGCTGGAAATGACATGGAAAGAAAGGAAATAACAAGGCAACCCATAGTTCCTTTTCCTTTTTGTCCTTCCTTATTCACTAGAAAGTGAAAGTAGAGTGTTAATAGAATGTACAAGGGAAGTAACGACAGTGCAGTGTGTTTGTACAGCCTGTTCTCTGTTTTGGTAATGAAATACATATGCATGGATAAGCTACAAAATACAATTGTATAATTTCAAGAATATACAAGTTGAATATCCTTATATTTACACTTAAAGCTAGCATTGCAGAATATAAAGAGGAATAATTAAGAGTCATGCTAAAAGTTTATTTTTTTATTTAAAATGACATTAAATAAAAAAAAATAAAAAACACCATGACAATTCAAGAGAGACCACAGAAGAAAGGAAAAATCTTTATAATTTAGTATAATTAATGGCATTTGTTTCCTGATTTTTGAACAACAGCCTCCAAATTTTCATTGTGCACTGGGCCCTCCAGATTATATAGCACCTGCCTAAGAATCCCAGTGAAAAGGTGGAACCCAGAGAGGCAAAGCGCCTCTATTGAAAGTGATATCTTTGTGACTTAGAATTGATTTCCCTGATTTGGTCCTTGGATATCAAAATGGAAATGTGAACACTCAAAGATATTTGCTCAATGCTATCATCTATCAATTTTCTTTTATTGATTCTAAGCTTAGAAAGTTAAACTTACCCAGATGTTTAATAAATTCTCAATTTTCTTCTTTTCTGGTTAATCCATTAATTTTTTTATATATTCAACTATTAAATCCTCACCTGTAACTGACTTTGGGGTAAGGCATAGGGCCATGGAAATTTTTTTTTTTCAAAATGCCAAATAGTTACTTAAAACCTTAGTTGTCTACTGAATACTAAGACTCTTGATTTTTGTTAGAGAGCTCCTTGTAAGCATTCCTTTCAATTTCCATCCTTTCCTCTCCCCTTGCTGCCCATACCCTTGAGCACTGCTAGTGTTCTGCTACGCTTCTACCTGGGTTCCCAGTTCCAACCCAGCAACCTCCTCACATCTTCTTTATGAAATTTGCCTTTTCTACCTCTCGAGTCACATATGCCACCCTCTCCACCTGGGATGATCTCAGACAGTCATTTTATTACTCCTATTTCTCTCTTCTCCTGTTAAGAAAAATAAAGATTTCTCAGTCTTACGCCACCTCACCTTAACTATAGATCCACCAAAAGAGATGGAGCTACTTTATAACTACAAAGCACTATACAAATACAAGGCATAATTATGAATGTCATTCTAATTATATTGATTAACAGTTAATACTTGCTTAGGGCTTACTCTATGCCAGGCAGTGTTCTGAATTTTTTATTTATATTAATTTATTTTTATTCTCACAACAGCCCTCTGAGGGAGTTACTAGTATTTCCAATTTACAGATGAGAAAACTGAGGCACAGAGAGGTTAAGTAACTTTTCAAATAGCTAATAAGTAGCAGAGGTGGAATTCCAACCTAGCGATTGTCTTATTTTACTTTCCTAAGGAGAGAGACTGAAAAGTCTCATAATATCATACCTTAGTGTGCAATAATACTAATAAAGTCACATGCATTTACAAAGGCTCTGCTTCCCTATGTCCAAGAGGAAGGGGGAAGCAAAACTGAATAATCTTCATATCAGGAATTGCCTGCCAGAAACATCCACCCACTCTTTGCCTCCATGGTTTTGTCTTGTTCTGTTTTGTTTTTAAATTTTGTAGAACAGATTTCTCTGGGAAGTCAGATTTTCCTTTGATTTTCCACCTGAGACTGGAGCGTGGAGAACCTCTGTCCATGCCTTTGCTCTCTCCCACAGATGCTTATTCTAGCTGTGTGACCACCAGCCTACATGACTGCACTGCAATGCACTTGGAACTAACTTCCTAGCAGGACCACCCAGAAGCTGCAGCTGGTGCAGAGTATGCGGCTGCCTGGCCTGTTTACACGAGAATGTGAGCGTAAGGAAGTGGACAGTACCTGCTTTCAGCTGGCAGCCAAAGCCTTGATTCCCTTGGAAAGACCCAGTGTGTAATCTAGAAATATGCGGAGGTTTTAGGCCCTATTTCCCAGACTTGGAGGTGTTCCCTTTCCAGAGTTGGGGCAGAAGGCAAGGTACTGCTGTCCCAGGATACTGTTGGCTGCCTCTGGCCCAGGGGAGCCAGCTGTAGCTCTGGAAATGTGGGTCAGACAGACTCCAAATGTGCTGATCCTCAGATAGACCACTTTGAAAGAGCCATTTTCTCATACAAAGACTTTCCGTTGAATCATATCCTATGCACTATCTCTGGCTTCTCAGAAAGGAACAACACTAAACTTGTAAGGAAAAAAATGTGTCCTTAAATCCCTTGCCTGTATCCTTTGTGGGCAGCCAAGTTCATGCCTGGCCACCACCCCAGGAGGGCATTTGGCAATAGTCACAGCTGAAAGCCTTTCTAGCCGATGAATAACAGCGTCCGGAAAAGCTAACTTAGGGGGCGAGCGGAGCCTCTGGAAGCAAGGAGAGTTCTACAGCGCTGCCAGCAAGGCCTTTAGCACTCATTCTAGGTGGCAGATTGGTCGCTGAACAGGTTATCTTGCATCTATGTTTTTGTAAATCAAGTCCTTTGTTACAGTTTTGTTTTCGAACTCTTTAGAGAGCTCACCACTTAAAGAATTTTGGTATCATATCACTTTATAAAATAACGAGAATGATCACTCCTTAGGACATCTGCTTCCTCAGTAAGTTCGGATTTTCAAAGATCAAGTTGTCCTAAATTGAAGGGAGCCTGTGTTAACAGCTTTGTCCCTTCGGTTTTGTCCTTTGAACCGGGCTATCCCACATGGTCTGTTGTAGGCTGCAAACAGGCCCTGGGGAGGAGAGAGGAGAAGTCAAGCCTAGAGACAAATGTTGTAAGTGGGTGAGGCTGTTTCTCCATTGTTAGACAGGCAGCACCGATTCTTCTCAGGAGCCTTGAGAGGAAAGGCAAACTTAAGTGTATCAAGTTGGTACCGTGCACCAGGCATTTAATTGCACAACCACCCCATGATGGAAGAAGGAAATGAGATAATACTTAACGAGTACCCACTACCTACTGAGCACAAAGCTGGTTGATTTACAATGGATTTTTTCATTTAGTCTTTATAATTAAAGTTGCCATACTTAGAAAATAAAAATAGAGGGTATCTAGTTAAATGTGGATTTCAGATAAACAATGATAATATCTTAGTATAAGTATATCCCATACAATATTTGGGACATACTTATACTAAAATATATTGTTGTTTATCTGAAATTCCTGTTAAACTGAGTGTCCTGTATTTTACCTGAAAATCCTATTTGTAATAATTCTAAGAATCAGGCATTATTATTTCCATTTTATAATTGAGAAAACTAAAACTCAAGAGACATGAAAGAATTTGCCCAAGATAATAGCTAATGTCAGAGTTGAGATAAAAATCTGGTTCTGTTTGATTCGAAATCCTATACATCAGCAACTATACCATATGGTCCCCTCATCTTAGCTAGTAAATAAGGAGAGTTTTTATTTACTTAAATAAGCTGCTTCAAGAGAAAGAGCTAGTCTCAATTTTAGATACTAAATATTTATTAATGATCTACCTGGTCCAAAATCCCATATTGGGGGTTTTGAGGAAAACAGGATGCATTACAGAGATAACTTAAGAACCAGGGCCCGCCCTAACAGAATAGAATGTAGTGGAGAATGTAGACGAGAGAGACAGAGAGAGAGAGAAGGCAGAGAGGAAAAAAGGAGGGAGGAAACATTCAATATGTTACTAGCTGGTCTCAAGTTTTTAAACAGGAACATTATAGTGGATTCTGCTTTAAAACTTTGAGCTAATGGTGAGGTCCCCTATACCAGGTCATGGGGGGAAGGGTACCCAGTGAGGGAAACTGAGGACAGTCCCCGGTGTCTCTGAGGAGGATCCCTCCTTGCAGGGGATCCGCATCTGCTGCTCTGTGGTACCCCCAGTGCCTTGAGTGCAGGGCTCCAGGTCACGCAGTGACTTTTAGGGCCTGCAGTGGTTTCACTGTCACATGGCTTACCTCACTGATGGCCAGGGTGACCTAGGCACAGCTAGTGAGGACGCTGCCTCCTCCCTCTCTCGGCTGCCAATAGCTGCCAGCCTGTGTGAAGAAGATGATCTGGAAAGGTTGGAAAGAAGACAGAATCCAAGGTAGCAAGTATTAGAAGCTCAAAAAAAGTAATCATAAAGTAATATTTCAGTACTTCCTTTGTGGCAAGCATTGCATCAGGGGGGTTTCATAAGTGTTATCCCTAAACATCACAAGAATGTAGTAAGGTGGGAATTATTACCTCTCTCTTACGGATGGGAACACTGAGGCTCACAGACAGTAAGGGGCATGCTAACAGTCGCACAGCGGATATGAAGGTCTCTCTGCTCTGAAATCCTGCTCTTGTATAGCACCCAGCTTCCCAAAGGGAATCAGATGCCGCCTTCCCACCAGACAGGCAGGGAAATTCACCACTAAACAGCAAGTGGGAGAGAGGATGTCTAGGACCTAAGTGCAAAGAAGCAGGCCTGAATCTAATACCATTCTCTCTTATCTCTTAATTGAAGCCAGGGGTATACATGCCCATTTTTGTAGCTAACATCAAAAATAGAAATCAACACTGTGCAAATGTATATCTAATAGTATAGCTTATGGTATGATTCTTTTTCCCTGTATCACTTTACAAAATGGAAAATATCAGGGAAGAGAAACTTAGAAATGGACACGCACACAAAAAGGTTATATATTTTGATAGGAAGGGCCTTTTTAAAGTTGAAGTTCTGTTTTTGATAAGAAAAAGCTTTTAAGAATGCTTTTTATATAGCATTGTTTATCTGTATTTATAGTCAATTCCTTCGTTCACTTTGCTTCTCCTATGCTACAATGCTAAGTTTCCCTTCATATTTTCCCAATGGTTAACGTTCTGCTTCTGAAAATTATCCATTAAAATTTTATCAATTTTATATTTTGGTGAGACAGTATGAGGAAATGCCATTGTGAAATTAGATTTTTTCTTTGACATCAGGCGCCCAGTCAGCAATCCAATCCCATGTGCTTCTATTGAGACATTAGGGTTTGATATAATTTTGGGCAGAAAACATTTTAAAAATGAAACAATTGAATTTTCTAGATGGTCTTGGGGACCACTTAGCTTAAGAGAATACACTTCCAAATCAAAAGCCTTTCAATCATTTTAAATATTATTTGGATGATATTTGCTCTGTGTGTAGTAGCAGTTTGAATTTGTATTGAATGTTTGACCGGCTCATGCACACATAGATGATGTATGAAATTATTATTTCATATTTTTCTAGTGTTTGCATTGCAAGTGACATCTGGCTGACAGGAACTTGGAGAAATGGGATACGAAGTGAATGCTGCAGTTACCACAAGCATCATATTTATCAAAAGGTTTAAGGTTGGCCTGTCTTTGTTTAACATATGAAACTTGGAACAGAGACTGGGAAGCACCATGTTTTGCTGTTACGTGCATGTTTTAACTGTGCCGTTTAGTAGAAGAGTAGTCAAAGAATAAATACTAATTGTTTATTTGCTCTGCTCATGAAACTAAATATTATACACCCTAATTTTAATAAAACACACTTAAATTAGATTTGATGTCATTTCCATATATTTTACCTGTATTCAAAGAATTCACAGGCTTCATGTTAGAAGAGCATACATACTGAGCCTATTCGTCATTACTCAGAAGAGGCGATGCGAGAGGAAAAACATCTCAACTGCATTTTTAATTTTATTTTCGAATTTGCAAATGTGCAAAATTGAAGTAAGACACGTGAAAACACGTAGTATAATGTTTGCAAGCTCTGATTCTGCTGCAATACACATATACGAATGTATACATCCTCCCAGTCTCCCTTTTCTTGGAAGTCATGGTCCAAATTATTAATTCGGTCATGAGAAATATCATTCATTTAACAAAGATTTATGACCTACTGTGAACTGTGGACTAGTCAGGTGTTGGGGGGATGCAGAGGAGTGAGACAATCCCTGCTCTTAGTAAACTCACGGGCAGATAGCAGTGGAGGTCAATAGGAATCAACTACATGTGAGTTAGGGCTACAGATTCCATGAAAAAAATATAGAATCATTGACAAAGTGGAGCGAAATGGTGACAGTGGTCCATCTACCACAGACAGATGAGGAAACAGAAAGGGGAGCATGGAGGTCATTGTGAAATCCTTTCATTATGTCAAAGACGGACTCATTTTTTGAAACTTGAAAATTTCAGGAAAACAGAAAGATGGTGAAAATCATCCTTGTTATTATCACCTAAAGGCAAATACATTTCATTCCAGTCTTTTCTCAATAACTATTTTGTTTTTTAGTTTTGAAAGCATCATGATAATACCACAAGTACAGTGCATGTATTAAAAAATATACTATTCTGCTTTCAAAGAAAACACACAACATCATTGAACGCGTTTCCATATTATTTTGAATTCTTCCTACACATGGTTATTAATGATCATATAATAGTCCAGTTGATATTCAGTACTATAAATTAGCCATTACTCTGTTAGGATGTTTCCTTTGTTTTCCATCTCCCTGGACCAACAATAAATTGGTGACTTCTGAGTAAAAAGGTATTCAGGAGAAGAGAACTAAATCTCCAACAGTGGGATTCTTGGCACGAGAATAAGATGTGAAGTAAGCTGTTACATTTATTCAGCATCTGGCACTGTGCTATATACTTTACATGTGCCATTTTGTTTGTTGCCACATGAATCCTGATTCAAGCATGGTATAGTGAAAAAAGACTGAATTCACCAAGAGCTGAGTTCCAGTTTAATCCCCCAACTTCTTCCAGCCTTGTGATTTCCAAAATTTTGTTAATCTCCCTGACCCCCAGCTTCCTTATTTGTGAATCGGGGCACTATTTTTACCACTTATTTAATCATATTAAGCTCCTAGTATATATAAGGTACCCTGTCAAGCACAGGGGACATAAGATAAGGGTGTCTTTGAGGACGTTGAAGCTTGTCGCAGAGTCCGGCTTGGAAATGGGTCTGACAGATTCCAGGAAAACACATGTTTTCCGGTGGAGTAGCATTTTTTTCTGGATCCTAAGTGATGAGGAACAGGTTTTAAACTGTTGTTCTTCAACCATAGTGTTTTTCTGTTAATTAATCAATCATATGCCTAGTGTTGTGCATATTTGTTCTTTTCCCAACCCTGGAGAAGCTGACAAGCTAGTGTCAGCCCTAATGCCCAGAAAAATATGGCTTCGGTTTTATAGATTAACATGCTAACTTATTTAAGAAGTGATTGTGTTGGTCCAGAGGAGATTGTTTTCTACCAGAGTCCTTCCTTCCTTCTAAGAGATGCGTCCGGCTTTGTGAACAGACGATTCTGTCGCTCCATCAATGACCACCTTTTGATACAGTTTTTTTATAACCTCATTAATCTGAATAACTGGGTTTTAGAAATGATCTTAAGCAATGTACAGGCATACTTTGTAATCAGATTTGGGCATGTAAATATTAAGTTTCCTCCTGCTAAAAATTCCCAAATATAAAATTAAAGCCAGTATGCTCAGACCTAATGACAAGTTTTCAAATGTTCATAATTTAGGAATTTAAAATGCTTCAAACATCATTAAAACTGTCATTTGAACCAGAAAGATACTTTTAGCAAGTATTTGCCTTCCTTCTCCTACCAAAATTTTACTCAAAATTATATCTGAAGGTTCACCAAATATTGGAAAGTAAAAATATTTGCAAATTTTACTAGTGAACTCCAATTTTCAAATAAAACAATCTACAACTCCTGTTTCCTGTTGTAAACCAATGGTGTATCAGTTAGCTATCACCACAAAACTGCTGCATAACAATCTGCTCCAAAATGTAGTAGCTTGAAACAATGACTCTATCTTTTGAGGATTGACTTAATTAGGCTCTCTTTGGAGTCAAAGCTGGAGAGAGCACTGCCAAGTTACATGGCAAACAGCATAGAATGGGTGAAGATTAGGGGCCACTAATGCAATCTACCGTAAATAACCATAGCATTTTTCTACAAGGATGAATAAAATCTAAATTTTTATCTTTTCTACATTGGTCCTAGGCTTTTATTTTTTAATTTTGCCATGTATTTAAAGGCTCCTATATTCCAGGCACTGACTTTTTACCCCTTTATCTTCCTACAATCCTACAAAATACATTTCAATATCCCTATTATGCAGATGAAGACATTGAGTAACATGTTCAGGCTTCCCTGGCTCATCAGTGGCAGAGTCTGGAGTTATTAATAAATCCTATCTGTGGACTCTGGGCTTTGACATCTGTTCTTTCTAGTGTGTAATGTTGCCTCTATGTAAAATTTCAAGCATAAAATTTAAGAAGAGAAAGGAATTTTAAAACTTATCTAATCTCTTTATTTTATAGATGAAACAATTGAGCCCTAGAGAGATGATTTTCCATATTTTTATCTTACTAATGAATTAACCCAAGTCTCCTGATTGCTGATTTTTTTTTCTGCAATTCCATACATGTTTTTTGTCATTGGACACACATTTACTGAATACTAGCTTTGTGCCAAGCCCACTGTTGATCTAGTCCTCTGTTGGTAAAATCATATCCTAACTATAGAAATGAGGAGAAATAGGCACTCATGCAAGTGCCTACTATGTGACACAATGAGTGTCTTTGTTTTCCTAAAACTGACTGAAACTGAGATTCTGAACTCCTGCATCAACCTATTTCTACCAAAGTATCGAGCAGATTTTCTCTTCAGCCCGGGCCACATTGCACATGTCATAAAGGCCGAGCCGGTCTAGGAGGCCGCAGGAGCTATTGCAGGCAGCCCCAGCCTCACCGCAGCAGAAGGGAGCATCCAGCTCGCCTGGGCAGCTACGTCGTAACAATGCCAAAACCACACAGCTGCCAGGCCCCACCTGAATTAGAGCTGACCTTAAGATGGATTTTGCAAACCATTCAAATAGATCTCTCCTTTTGGAAGGTTAGGAGAATAAAAAAGGAGAAAACAATAAAATGCCTCCAATTTGCAGTCCCTCCCTCTGAGATCTGCTATATGCAGCCTCCATGCTGTCCCCAGTACTGAGTCATTATCCCCAGTGGGTCCTGCAAGCCTAAGACTGATGGAAAACAAGC